AAAGTGTCGGAGGGGGGACACTGGAGGGGGACAGGGGGGGACACGAGTGGCGTCGTGTGGGACACGTGGGGGACACGTGGGGGACACGTGGGGGACACGCGTGTACTGCTGCGGGCGTGCTGGTGCCAGTTAGAGACTGGTACTGGTGCCAGTTAGAGACTGGTACTGGTGCCAGTTAGAGACTGGTGCTGGTGCCAGTTAGAGACTGGCGCTGGTCCCAGTTAGAGACTGGTACTGGTCCTAATTAGGGACTGGTACTGGTCCCAGTTAGAGACTGGTCCTGGTCCCAGTTAGAGCTTGGTACTGGTGCCGGTCAGTGCGTGGTGCTGGTCCCAGTTAGAGAGTGGTGCTGGTCCCAGTTAGAGTGGTGCTGGTCCCAGTTAGTGCGTGGTGCTGGTCCCAGTTAGAGAGTGGTGCTGGTCCCAGTTAGAGAGTGGTGCTGGTCCCAGTTAGTGCGTGGTGCTGGTCCCAGTTAGTGACAGGTACTGGTGCCAGTTAGTGCTTGGTACTGGTGCCAGTTGGTGACAGGTACCGGTCCCAGTGAGAGACCGGTACTGGTCCCAGTTAGTGCGTGATGCTGGTGCTGGTTAGTGACAGGTACTGGTCCCAGTTAGAGACTGGTACTGGTCCCAGTTAGAAACTGGTACTGGTCCCAGTTAGAGACTCATACTGGTCCCAGTTAGTGAGTGGTGCTGGTCCCAGTTAGTGCCTGTTGCTGGTACCAGTTTGGTACTGGTGCCAGTTAGTGCTTGGTACTGGTGCCAGTTAGTGCCTGGTAGTGGTCCCAGTTAGCACCTGGCACTGATCCCAGTTAGCGCCTGGTACTGATCCCAGTTAGTGCCTGGTACTGGTCGCAGTCCCGTTCTGGTACTGGTCCCAGTCCTTGCCCTGTACTGGTCGCAGTCCCATTCTGGTGCTGGTCCCAGTTAGTGCCCGGTATTGGTTCCAGTTATTGCCCTGAACTGGTCCCAGTCTCATTGCGGTACTGGTTGGTCCCATTCCTGTTTTGGTCCTGGTCCCAGTTAACACCCGCTTCTGGTCCCAGTCCCATTCCCGTACTGGTCCCAGTTAGCATCCAGTTCTGATCCCACTCCCATTCCTGAACTGGTCCCAGTCCCATTCCGGTTCTGGTCCAAGTCCCATTCTGGTTCTGATCCCAGTCCCATTCTCGTACTGGTCCCAGTCCCACCCCGGTCCTGGTCCCAGTTAGCACCCGGTTCTGGTCCCAGTCCCATTCCTGAA